TGGGACATGCCAGCATCACCCTCCTACCGCAGCTGGGAAGGTGAAGGAGGGAGAGATGTTGATCCTGTAGGAGACATTCATGCACCCCCCCAGCTTGGTGCGTGGTTGCCAGAAGTTTCTTCCCATTGTTGCTAAACTAAAAATACTACTACTAATAATAATAATAATAATAGTAATAAACAACCTATTGCCACCCGAGCAGGAGCTTTGCAGCTTCTGTGACCTATTTCCTTTCCCCTTTGTCACTAATTAATGACCGTAAATAGGGGCCTGCTCACTTGCAGTCCTTCCTAGTGTCTTCTGGCCCATTTGGGCTCCTCTTTCTGCAAGATGGGCATAAAAATCATGCTCCACTCCTCGGGGTGTTGGGGCATAAAAAGAGCCAGCATGGGGCAAGAGAAGAGGGCTTGCGCTAGGCACCAGCTTGCTATGGGACTGGGGATGTAGAACCATTCCTCTAGCTATCCTTCATCTTCTGCACGGCCTTGGGAAAAGCCACCTTGCACCTCCACCTTCTTCTTGGCAAAGGGATCTTTGTGGTGGAAGCAGCGATAAAAGGAGAAGCCAGATAAAGGATGTGAGGTTTGCTCTTGCCCAGCTGCCAGACACATGTGGGGTTTCCTATTTCTAGGTTCCCCATCGGGTACCCTCACGGCTCTTGGGAGGTGGGATATGAACACTGACCAGCAGAATAAAGCTGGCACCAGATATTTGGGTGTTAATTCAGGATATTCCCCCCTGCTGCCCTTCCCAAGGACTCTTGTTACCCAGCCAGCACTGTCCTGCCGGGGCTGTGCTGGGAAGGGCCGCCAGTGTTTTATTTGGCAGTGTTGAAAGCCAAGGCACTAACGGTTGCGCCACAACGTTGTCTCTTGCGATGGCAGCTTGGGCCACCGCTCAGGGAATGACTCTGCCCCCTTGTCACAGGGGGACCAGCCCAACCTGTGGTGGAAGATAAGGGACCGCTGGGTCCCTCCCGGTCTGGCCAAAAATGCTCTGGCTGCCAGAGGAGCTGTTGGGATGAAAGGCACAACCTCCCCTAGACTGACCCATATGGTCCCCACCAGCTTCTGGGACCCCTCACAAGTCTGTGTATGTGATGTACAGGGCCTCTGTACTGGGGGTTAATTTTCAAGCCCCAGCAATAATTACAGAATCACTGGAAGCAAGTGCTGCCTCCCCATTATGGCTAATTGCAATGGATTATTAATTACTCAGTGAGCAACCCTTACAAACTAAGCGCACAGGAGGTGAGCAGTTTGATAATCCTGTTTTCTTCCCCTGCCCCTTACTTACGTTTTTTTTTGGAAAGGCCACAGGCTGACTTCCCTTGCTAGCAGCCCTCTCCAGGGCCCCGATCCAGGTGCTTGCCAAGCATGACTTGGCTCTCTGCCCCTTTGGGAGGGCTGGGGAAAAACGGGTCTGTGCAGGACCTGACGAACATTCCCCATTCATCCTCTGCCCTCCGGATAGAGACATGCCCTGCAAACATCTCAGCTGCTCAAGTTTCTTCCAGTCGCAGCAGAGATGCACTCATAGGGCAGAGGGGTATCCATCGGACACCTGCACTACAGGGACTTCTCCCAAATTCTGACCCAACAGCCCTAAATCCCTCTCTGGCGGTGCTGCTGATGCCCTTTTCTCCCTCTAGCTCTTCCAAAGTCTTACAATGCCCGAGTCTGAGCATTTGTTTATTCCTCCCCACCCCAGGGGCTCGCCAATACGCACCAAAAGCCCCAGCAGCTGTACCTCCACCCTCGGTGGGAAGAGCTGCTGCTCTCTGCAACCCACGATCCCTCTGCAAACCTGTCAGCAAAGCAGCTTCCCAGCCAGTTTCAGCTTTTCAATAACGCAGGTGTTTTACTTGGCTTCCTCCCATCTTTTTTCTCTTCCCTATAGTGAACTGCGTGCAGAAATGCAACTGGAAGGCGTGCAGAAGGCTCTTCTGCCCTGTCTCCCTGCCCCAAAAGTCCTCCCCCGCAGCACCCGTCCCACTTCTCCTCCCCTCTTTATCCTTTTCACACCTGCTGTAATGAGGTGTGAACACCAAAGAGGAGCCTCCCTTCCAGAGGACGAAGGCTGGGAGCCCATCGCTGCATAAACCAAGAGGAGGGCAGTGTCTAGATAAGAAGCTGGTTCCTTTTTCAATTCTAAGATTTTTTTTTTGGTCTTTAATTCCTGCTTTTAGCCGGCCACCTGGGCTCATGGCTCCCTTCTCCTCCTTTGCAGGCCCAGTATTATGGTGAGATCGGCATCGGGACCCCCCAACAGAAGTTCACTGTGGTCTTCGACACTGGTTCCTCCAACCTCTGGGTGCCATCTGTGCACTGTCACCTGCTGGACATCGCCTGCCGTAAGTGTCACGAGTGCCAGCCACCGCTCAACAGCTTCTCCTTCCCTGCAAAATGCAAATCCTGGCATTGCAAGAGGAGAAACTGAGGCAGCAGTGTGAAAGGGCTTGCCAGAGGCTGATGGGCTCTTTAGGGTGAGAGCTAGAAATAGGATTCCAACCTCCCACATTCATCCTTCGTTACTCCTTTCCTGTTTTTTCCCCTCCATGTCACCCACGCGCAGCTTCAAACCTTCCCCAACAGCCTCAGCCCTGCAGCCGGGGAGCAGCATCACAGGTTTTGATGTTTCTCCTCAAATTATAGACCGACACTGCTGTTGCCCCGTTGCGCAAGGCTGGTGAGAAAAAAATCAGCCTCTTGCCAGATCTGATACAAACTGTCCTAGTTTCTGGTTTATTGCTGCATGGAGCATGTGCATGCATGTTTATGGATTTATAATTAACGAGAGCCAGGTAGGCACGGTGAGATGAGAATGTCTTAGGAACTATGTGGCATTCCTACACAACAAAACTCCACAGTTGAAGGTGTCAAACCCGGCTATGGCAAAATGCCATTTAAAAGCCACCGGCTCTACTGCTTAAGCAGAGTGGAGAAACCTGTGGAGCCAAGAAATGTAACCATGAAAGGCAGCCCACAGTGCTTGTTGGGGGTAGGGAGGAAATTTGGACTTCTTGTCCAGCCCTGTAGTACCCAGAGAGGAGACGGACCTTATTTTTGCTTGTGTGAAATGATATTTAGGACATTTGTAGGGTAGTGAGGTCCAGACCTCACTTGATTTGGGGGTTCCTGATCTGTAGCAGGGAGCTGGTTTCTCAAGGCAGTGGTGTGGGATGTGCTGGGACCAAAAGGCTCGTTTTATGAGTATGCAATGAGCCCAACCTCCTGCCAGACCGGGATCCAAACCACCCAGCCAGGGAAGTCCCCGTGTAGCGTGTGGGTTTCCACAGGGCTCGGCTGGTTT